ATTAATTTCTTTCTATTTTTAGTAGAGACGGGGTCTCGCTCTTGCTCGGGCTGATCTCGAACTCCTGAGCTCAAACAATCCGCCTGCCTCGGCCTCCCAGAGTGCTAGGATTACAGGCGTGAGCCTCCTTCCAGATTCTGACCATGGACTCTCCTTGCCCTCTGTGCCTGAACCCACCTCCCACCACTTGTTTCTACCCAGGAGCCCGTCCTCTCTGGGACTGCAGCCAGCCCTGCTCTCACCAATCCTGTCCTGGCTCTGGGTCTCCCCATGGAGGATCTTGTCTGTTTCCCACCAGCACACATTCTGGGTGCCATTTCCCTACTTCTGTGTCTCTCAGATCTCTAGAAGCTCCTCCAGGGCTCACAAGGCAGCCTCATCAACGCATGTTTGACCAAAGTTTCTTTCTCCACCCTCGCACTATTCCAGGTCTCAGTTACAGCCATTGCCTGTGTCTTTGCACCCCAGTCGGACCTTTCCTACTTTGCTCCAGCTGGGCGAGTACAGACCTGAGACCTCACTCCTCCCAGGCCATCCATCCTAACTGCCAGATCCTAAAAAGAAGCCTGTCTTTGACCCAGGCACATAGAAAGTGTGGAGTTAGTATACCAATCAATGATGGACCTAAGGGTAAATGATTTTTCTAACTAACTTTGCCAATGACCTAATCAACCATATGGTTTTTTTTTATTTCAAAATATTAGGGGGGTACAAATGTTTATGTTACATATATTGCCTTTGCCCTGCCTGAGTCAGAGCTACAAGCATACCCGTCCCCCAGACAGTGCACACCGTACCATTAAGTGTGAATATACTCATCCCCTCCTCCCAACCATATGATTTTTATTAAAAATTATTACTAATCAACCAAGGATTATCAAATATTTGGTAAAAGAAAAATACGAAGATGTTTGAGAGAGCAACTGTGGGAGAAACAGATATAAGAAAGAACAAACAGTTGAATTAGTCTCCTTGGAAAGATTTGAGGGGATAATGCATTTGTAAACAAGACTAGGCTACTATGAAAAAGGAACAGGCAGAGAACATAAATGAGGTTTTGAGAAAGTAAACACTGATTCTCTAAATAAATTATAAAAATTAATAGAACTGAATCATTGCTATGGCTGAAAACTAAATTAGCAATCTGTATGGTAAAGTTGAAAAAATAGATGTAGAGAATGACAGAAAGGGAAAAATACAAGAAAGACATTGAGATATAGGATAGACCTAGAAAGCTATTAATATGTAACTCATTCAAAATATGAGAACAAAGTCAAAAAAGGGAAAAAATCAAATAAAGAGTAAAAGAAAGTTTTCATGAACTAGAGAAACTCTTTTTAGATGGAAAATACTCACCATGTGTCAAGAAATATTCTGTTGAAATTTTTAAATTCCCACTATAAAGCTTCCAGAATGAATTAACAGGATACCTACAAAAAAAAGCATAACATTGTCATCACACTTTTCATTCATAATATTGATGCTAGAAAACAGAGGAGAAAGACTTTCAAGTTTTCAAGGAAAATTATTTTGAACCTAAATTCTATAGGCAGCCAAACTGTTATTCATCAATGAAGGCAAAATAAGACATTTAATGACTTAGAAAGTTTCTCTCTATTTATCCTTCTTGGTATGACTTGGGAATGTCATGAAGCAAAAGGAAACATGGATCTAACAAACAGAAGAACTGCCTGAGGAATGAAATGAAAAGGCATTTTAAGTTGTTAGCTGTAAAAAAGGCCTAGAAAGCAATTGGCCCAAGTTAGAACATGGAAGACAGGAGGTGGCGATTGACGAACATCTTTAAGAAGAACATGGATTTAAAAAATATGTTTAATAATCTGGAAAATCTTAGATATGTAAAAATGGTTAAAAGGGGCCGGGTGCAGTGGCTCATGCCTATAATCCCAGCACTCTGGGAGGCCCAGGTGGGAGGATCACTTGAGGTCAGGAGTTCGAGACCAGCCTGAGCAAGAGTGAGACCCTGTCTCTACTGAAAATAGAAAAAAATTAGCTGGGTGTGGTGGCTCATGCCTGTAGTTCCAGCTACTCAGGAGGCTGGGGCAGGAGGATTGCTTGAGCCCAGGAGTGTTGCTGCAAGCTAGGCTAATGCCATGGTACTCTAGCCCAGGCAACAGAGTAAGACTCTGTCTCAAAAAAAAAAAAAAAAAAAAAAAAAAAAAGACTAGGAAAATAGTTAAAGGGGATCAGAATATGCTGCCCCAAAATATGTTTCTTTGGCATATTGATTATTTTGAGCTGAAGGTAGTTAAGAAAAAGCAGATGCAGGACAAGTTCTCTACCTTCCCCCTATTGGCCTGCAAGTAGGGCATAAATTTCCCTTGTTCTCTCTGGTACCAGGATGGAAAGAAACAACCTTTGTCACCATAGATGGAGAAGGCACTGAGATGAGCCTGCATAAACAAACCTTACTAAATAACCCTTATCTTCCCCCATATATTTACCTTCCCACAGTTTACTGCTCCTAGGAGCCCAAACTCCTTCTCTTTTGTTAGTCATTTCTTAACAATTTATCTCCCTTTTTTAAAATGGTACTTAAATTCCCAAGACTACTGTTTCTTTGGGTTTTCACTTCTTTTCTGTGGAGCCCCCATGCACATAAAATTTAAAATAAAATTTGTGTGGCTTTCCTCCTGTCAATCTGTCCTTTGCCAGTTTAATTCACAAGGTCCAGACACAGAAATGAAGAGGGTAAAGTTTTTCCTCTCTTACAGAAATAAGATGAAAAACATGTTCATCTACTTCTCGGTTGTCTGGCATGGATCAAATTCAAAACTTTACATTTTCCATGATTATAGAACCAGTAGGAATAAAGAAGAGGAGAAAAAATTGGCTTTACGGTTTTTAGGAGCTAAAATTAGAAGTTGTGGATGACATGACCAAACACTGGCCCATGATGTTATCTCCCTGTTACATGGTCATCATCCTACCAGGAGGCTTCATTTTATAAGAGAAGAATTCATTACTTTTAATAAGTTTAATCCAAATACTTGAGTCAGTAAATTCTGGATTTAAAATTCCTACAAAATGTTAGTCTACACTCCCAATTCAACTTTTTTTCTTATTAGATTGGTTTATTGGTACTCTCCCTCTTAAGTTTTCCACTACACTGTATTTTCTTGTTTATCCAAGTCACTGATCTAGCATCCGTAGGGATAAAAGAAATCCTGTCATGCATCTAACATGAAAAACATCCCCGCCTTGGAGGAGCTTGCACGCTCTCGAGAATGGAAGAGTGTTGGAACTCATTTTCAGAGCACTGCATGTAAGTATAGAGATGATGCTTGCTTGTATATGTTTCAAAATATAAAAATAATTTAGAAAAAGAAAAAGAAAAAAATGGGACTGGGGCATTTTAAGATTCTTCAGAGTGTAGAAATCAAATGTTACTTTCTCTATGGTTAAACTCTAAGACAATCAAAATAGGATGTAAAAAACTGTCTATTGCTGCCAAGGTTTAAATCATTTTTCCGAAATATGTTTGCCAAGACAAAAGGATGTGTTTTCTGCAGCAAAGGGGAGGTGAGAGGGTGAGAGTGTTGGACATTCACGAGTAATTACTGCATTTATTTAGGTTTCTGCAGCTATCTAACAGGCTTATGATAGCAAATCATAATGAACAGTCAAAAGGCAGAAATAGCAACGTTAACCTTATCATGCCACCGGGATGTTAAATTCTTTCTATGCACGATACAGTGCAAAGGTTCAGGGAGAGTGAGAAGTCTGACCTGAAGCAATTTTTCCACTACTCATCACTTTTGACAGTTACAAGAAGTCCAGAGAAGGGATTTTCTTGTCTAATTATTTCTAACCTTTAAGTTCAGGGAGTCAGTCTTTCTCAAGATTAGAATGCACTAAATGCATCCTGAGGAAAGGGTGCGTACATTTTCTGCAAATACTGTCCAGGAGATGTGAACTCTCTCCCCTTATTTAGGATATCAGAGGAAGGGGCTGGAGGGGAGGAGAGTTCAGTCCGCTCAGCTCGGAGTAAGTGCTTTAGTAAGCGCTTTAGTATCGCTTCCACGGGGACAGTATCACTTCCATCCTGAAGTCTGAACTCAGCCCAGTTGCAGACCACAAACTCAGCCTGAGTCCTAGCCAGTGGCCCCAGGAGTTACTATAAATAACCCCTTAGAACTGCTTGCTGGCGACCTATTACTATTAAGTGGGAGAGTGCATTCCCCTGAAGATACCTAAAATCAATGCAAAGAGGACTTCAGAAGTATGCATTTTGCTAAACTTTAAACATCAGAGAAGTTGTTCAAAAATCCCCCTGAAGAGAGAAATATGCTGATCTTCAAATTTTTACCTATCGTGATGATCCTCACAGGCTTTGATTTCTCAAGGCTGTTGCATGAAAATCAGATTTCTCCTACTAGAAATTCATGAGCTCCTGCAGTTTATTTCGCAGTGGCAGTCCTTGTGATCTGCTATCTGGGCACCTGGAGCTGCCGAGCCTGCAGCTCTGGGGCTGTCACATAAATTACACAGA